CTGCTTTGTGTTGTCCCTTGTATTCCTGACCGTGCTGGGAAGGTCTTGCACACAAATTGAAGAGAATGTTGCAACCCCTTTTTCATGAAAAGCACAGCACTCCTCCCCCATGCTCTTGTATGTCTGTTCAGCTTTTGTTTTCTTTTGACACTAGTAGGTCAGCTTGTGTCTAAAACTTGAAGAAATGTCAGTTTGCCAGTGTTTCTTGTTTCCTGTTTCCTGAGGGTAGTGTCACTTGATTGTCCTGCAGGAATTAAATTTCTGAAGAGTGGTGACTCGGACAAACTTAGAAATCTTCTGCTTAGTGAGTTTGCAAGATAGTAGCCTAGGGTTTTCTAAGTATCTTAAACATCTTCCTCCTGAGACACTAACTCATAAAAGGACCTCTGTTTAGGTCTACTTTTGAACACCTCAAGTGCATTCAGAGGTTGTTTTCCTTGAGAAGTCTCCTGGGATGATGGTTACTGTGTTCTGTGATGCTGCTTTATATATACATATTTTTATATATATATTTTATAGATATTTGTATGTATTTTTATATGTGTGTGTCTATACATAAACTTTTTGATTAGTGGTTATTAAAACACCAACTACAATGTTGACGTATCTTGATGTGTCCTCTTCTGAGGAGGTGTAATTGAGATGGCAGAAAACACAACCCTGACATCCCCACAGGCTTTTCCCAGTGTCCAGGAACCTATTAAAGCAAGAGGGAACTTGGGACTGTTGAAGGGGCCGCCTCATTCTCAGGTGTGCCAGAGCGGTTTTCTGTTTGGGCACACACAGGGAGACTGGTGGCAAACCACCACCGCTTCTGGGCTGTTCCAGGACCGCAGTCCACTGGCTGTTAGTGCTGCTGGTGGTCCAGGGTCGTGTCACCAGGTACCTGCCTCAGGAGCCTGGTTATAGCAGAAATTGGCTTGAACAGTGTGCGCCAGCTTTGTGCTGATGAAGATCGTCTGGTTTGAATGAGTCAGTTACTTATTAAGTGTCTTTAAGGTGACTCTGAAGGATTTTTCACAGCAAGCCAATCCAGTGTTAGTACTCAAATACCAGAAGCCTCCATGAAATTCATAATTCTTTCATGGAAATCACAGGAAAGGTTTTTGGTTTTCTACAATATTTTCCTGTCTACTGAAATACATGTATTTTGATAATTTAAATAATTACTCTTTTGCAACTCTAATTCCTAGTGTTAATTATTTTTTCTCGTGTGTGAATACATTTCCATTGTAGTGAAAAATAGCTACTGAATTTCTGAGAAGAAAAATCCTTTTCCTATTTCTTCTGTTTGTTTTTTTAAGCTGGACCGTCCATCCCCTCAGTAGTGGCATATCCCAAAAGAAGCCAGACTAGTACTACAGACAGTGACCTCAAAGAGGAAGGAATTCAGTCAAGAAAATCCAGCAGTAGTGCTGTTGCAGGAAGAGGAATTGCACCAGCTAGCCCAATGCTTGGAAATGCCAGCAATCCCAATAAGGCTGATATTCCTGAACGTAAGAAAAGTTCAGCAGTTCCTAGTGTAAGTAGAAACGCTTATTTATCAAAACTATGAAATGTTTGAGGGGTGAAAAAGTGTTAAAGCTGTGAGTTATCAGTGGTACTGATTTCACTTTTCATTCATCAAGAGTAAATGTAGGTATCTCATACTGTTGTCTTTTTTCTTTTTTCCCCTGCATCAGTCAGCTACTCAAGTTACCTCTTAATGTTCCTGAAGTAGTTAGTAGGTATTAATAATTAGCACTAGTGCCTGTAAGTGAACGGACATAATTTGGGTATTAAAAAATCATTTAAAAAAACCAAAAACAAACAAAAAAACCCAACAAAGCGATCTGAACCCAAAGGCTGTCCCCTGGAATTTCATGTGAGTTATTTCTGATATCACAAACTACTGTTCCATGGCCTCTGTACAGAAGAACGAAATACCTATTTTTATTATCCTGATCTGTAGTTCCGTGTGTGAGGAGCCACCTAACCTTTATTCCCAAACAGACTATTCCAAGTCATAGTTATGTATATTAAGATTGTTGAAGAAATGTATCTCTGAAAACTGTTCAAAGGTGTATTTCAACTGGTATTTAAAAGCAGCACACTGGGGTTTTGTCCTTGTGGGCTTCCCCCACTGACCCCTAAACCTCAACAACAACAACGAAAAAACCACACTAAGGTGCATAACTAGTGAATTTACAGGATCAAGCAGTAGGCAGTGTGCCAAAGGAAAGAAAAATCCTTTGTTTGCTTTGGCTTTAACTTGAATTCTCTGTGGTGCCTCCCTCTGAGGAAAGGTTGGAAATCTGTGTTCTCATAAATACTCTTGAGTCTTGTAACATTTAATTTCGAAATCTTGGGGATTTTGTATTGAAAACCTTTCTTCTTTTCAGAAGAAATAACTTCGCAGTCCTTTATTCAACTTGCAATGGAGTGATGATTTTTTTAAAATTTATCCCATAAAGCTGTTATATTTTATCATTTACTTAGCACCAGAAATGAGAACAGAACTTCCTGAGCTCACAGCTTTTTGACAATCTGAAGCAAAAGAAGTAAAATAAGATTTGTTTTACTTTGTTGGCTCTGTATTGTCAGTTGGCTCAGTGGCTGATGGTGACTTGGCTGGATGATTTCAGCCAAAAAGATTCCTTGGAAAGACATGTCTTCTACTGTAGCAGCTGTTATTCATAAATGTGAACAAAAGCTCATGATTTTGGGGGATGCTTTTCTGATTTTTGTGGTCCCCTGCCCTTTTCCTTGGTTTTGATCGGTCCAGAAACGGATCAGATTTTGTTTCTTCTTATAGGACAGTTCTTAGTTACTGAGTCTCAGAATGGTAGAAAATAATCAAATCTGTTTTGTCCTACATTGGACATCACTCATTATTATGTAGTGCCTTTATTCAAGAGCTTTGCATCACAGTTACAACATATTTTATGTTTAGTATCTTTGGTGTTTTTATCTGCAATTCTACACCACTCCCAAATCCTGGGGATTTATTCCAGTAGTCTTATTTCAGATATCATACGACTGTAGCTGAAGTAAGATTTGAGCTCATAAGCATAGGATGGATCTTTCTTCCGATTCAGTGTGCAACTGATCCAACTGATCTTTTACAAGCAGTGGCACAAGGTGGTGAACATGGAATCAGACTTGTGATGTCACTCAATTAATGGTTAAAACTGTCTCTGTTTATAGCTCATGTCAGACATTGGAAACTTTTGGGTTTTTTTTTTCTTTTTCTACTGCTAGAGATCAGTCTTTTGCTTTCTGGCTGTTGGGGATGGAGGGAAGCACTGACAGTTTTAGGCAATTCCTGGAACTGATTAGGAAGTTTTATTTCTTACAGTATTGGCGTGCATCTAGAAGGGGGGAAAAAAAAAAAAAAAAGAAGTTGGAGTTACCATATTGTCCTGAAGTTAAAAAAAGTTTGAGGTGAAGAGTTTGTGTTCTCACTGAGCGCTTAAATTCCAAAATCAGTAATATGATGAGAAAATCACTGAAGAGACAGAAAAATACTGTTTTAAAACAATTATTACTTTGACAGATCCAGCGAACCCTTAGCCAGTTGTGTGCTGCTTTTATTAAATAACACAGCTTACAAGCATGCACTTCAGGATAAGAATTGTGCTTGTAGAGCAGCTAAGTCTGGAGATGGAGTAAGGGGCTCCAAGCTGTACTTCTGAAGTTGACAGAGCATTTAAACTCTTGCAGACTGAATAGTTCTGCAGGCTGAACAAGTGCACATCAAAAGTTCAGGTTCTTTGGGAAATACCAAATTAATAACAAAAACCTGCTACAGGGGTTGCATAGTTAGTGGCAACTAATAATTTCTTGGTTTAATAGCTCCTTGTTCATTACTCCAGCTTTAGATTTTTTTTTTTCCTCAATGCTTGTAATAAGGCTGCCCCAGAGCCCTTAGTGTAGCTTTAAGAGAACTGGAAGAGAATAGATGTTATTTTTGGAAAATCGTTTAGGACCAAAAACCGTAATAGTGCTCTTAAGTAAATAGACTGCTTTATTATTGTAAGTCAGAAGCTGATTCGTTGAAAGTTTTTTCATCAGTCCTCACCTTGGTGTCTCTTAATGTGAAAATAGCCTGCCTAAGCAGTGGGCACAAAACTCCCTAGGAAAAGAGGACTCCTCTGTACCACAAACTTGTCTTTTGTGATGTGGTTGGACCTTGTGCCTGTGCTCAGAAGTCTCAGCATGTGCTTTTGCAGTATCAACGCCTCCTGCAAAGAAGGCAGATGATGCCATGAGGATGAACTTTTGCAGCTAACCCTGACCCTAGGGGCTGTCATTCCATCGGGGAGTATGGTGCTGTTGACACCAGTTTCAGGCTTCCAGTGCTGTGCACCTATGCAACTTAAGTCAGGTCCAGAGATTATTAGTCTGTAGATTGGCTGAAGAAAACAGTTGTAGCCAAAGGGCTTCCTTAATGAATCATGAAAGCTTATGTGCTAAGAAGTGTAAAGGCCCCAATACCAAGACTGTATTCTTGCTAAAATTGAAATTTGAAAGCTTTAAGTGCTTAAATCTCCTCTTGTGACCTCTGAAATCTGGGCCAAACAGAAAAAAAAAATGTGTACTGATCTGTCTGTCTTTGCATTCCAGAAAGAGCTGGGAAAGTGCATCTTTAGAGTCCTCTGATTTCAGATATGAATACCAAAACATGTCCACTCCCAAACTTGAAAATGTATAGTCTTTAAAGTTTGATCCAGCACAGAGATTGCTGTCCTGTCTTTCTAGATGTGCAACATCACAGTGCATTTTAATGTTATGTGGTGGCTTCTCAAGAGAAACAAATATTTAATGTTCTAAAGGGAGCAAGTGGAAGGAAGGAAGCCACCCTTTATTGTGAGAGAGAAACACTGTTGGATATTCTAAGTGTTTCGTGTCTCTAATATGAACACAGAACAAAATGATACGCAAATACTAATATACAGTACTTCAGTGTACCATTGGTTTGTGAGGGCTCCACAAAGTGTCTTGCACAGCATGACCTCTCAGGAACATATAAACAAAACTCCCCCTTAGGTGCACAGTTTCATTACTAGCAAGTTTGGTAAAGAGAGGGGAGTTTGCACAATGACAAATGTCAGAGGAAAGTGGAAGAATCAATGTTTCTTTTTAAAATAAACAGGCAGATTTGAAGACGAGGAATGTGTAAGGAATTCAGTTCAAGGAAAGGGCCAGGAGGACTTCTGCTGATGCTTGTCACTTGCCTCTCCCTAAGGAATATCCAGCAAAGACTACTTGAGAACCCTTGAGACAACTACATACATCTTATGATTTAATTAACAGTTCTGCTAGTCTAAAATACTCTTGATAATCTTTGTCCTTTTTAACACCAGGAGGTTGCGCAGTTCACTTTTTCATTTTTATTTGTACGTTCACGTAAAGATGTGTATCAGGTCAGCAGTCTCTTAAACAGACAAGATGGCTTTATTGTTAAATCTGCAGATCAGGGATTGCATTGCTTGAGGCTGCCTGTATAACAAATATTTTGCCTTAAGGCACTGGAGAAGCTTTTGCTCATTATTGAGAATACTGCACTTTAACAGTTTTATTTCAGGTTCGGAAACAAAAAAGGTTTGGCTGCTCTCCTTTTGTGCTTGAACTAGTTTTTCCTTTCTTTTTTTTATCCTTCTTCCCTTGATTCTTTACTATGACCATTTCTGTGAAACCTTTTTGTAATGCTATTTTAAAAATCCGCTGAATTTCCCTTGTCTGTCATAGCAGTAATTCTTCAAAGAACTCCAAAAGGTTAGTTGAGCATGAAGTCCCCTGCCTGATTCTTAGTGGCCATCCTTACTCAACATGTGCTTATCCAGGTGCTGACCAGTCATTCCCTTAAGCTAGTCTCCTCCAAGACTTTCCCCAGCAGTGATGTTTAAAGTTAATAGCCTATTTTGCTTCCTGCTTTGCCCTGTGATCCTTTTCTTTAAAGACAATTTTAAAAAGTTTTTTCCACGTTCCAACCATATGCAGTTTCCTGTGTTATGTTCTTGGGGTGGGCAGAAAAAATGTAAGGCTTGCCGGCTTTTACTTCCTCTACAACCTGGGGGTGCATGTTTATCTGGACCACCGTGCTTTTCCTACAGTAATTGCATCTAATGTTTTATAATTCTGTTATCTGTGAATTACCTAGCTTCTCAGTCGTTCCTGGAAAATTGACCGCCAACTTGGGCATATCTCCACCCTCTTTCTCTGTAAAGACAGAGGCAAAGTAATTCTGTTTCTTTTCTCCCCTCTAAAGTAAGGTCTGTAGTTTAAGTTCCCCTGGTTCTCTTGTCCTCAATGTATTATGCTTGTATTTAAATGTGTATTTTAAAAAATGTCTTATTAAAATTCTCAGCAATTTGTCACTTTAATTTGACTTATTCTTCCCTGTTTCTAAAACTTTGTCTAGTGTATTATAGTATTTTAATATTTAAAAGTTCATGTTTACCTTCCCACTGAATTTTACCACATTTGTTTCTTAAGTGTTTGCTTTTCTGATCTTGTTTAAGGGTATTATTTTAACTTAAAGGAAAATTCTACAATGTACAAGTGGTAAAGTATTTTAAAAATAGGCTATAAAGACATAGGCTATCCAGATGTAGAGGAATGCTACACATGCACAGAATTTGTAATTCAGAACATCAGTAATTAAAAACTTTAAGCAATATTAATTTTGAGCCATCAACACGAAATACAAGAACAACCTGTTAGAATTATTTTTTTCTGATCGCATTATTCCTTAAAAATACTGGAAGGTGTTTGTATATTAACTTATTTAATTGTTGTAAGTTTTTTATAACTCTGTAGAAGTAGCATGAAGTAAAACAGCCTTCAATTACATGTAGACTTAACCCCAGAAAAGCCTTTTATGGGGAATAACAAGCCTATGTTTTTTAATTGTAGAATAATACTGCCCCTGGAGCAATGACACGGCGCAACACATATGTTTGTAGTGAAAGAACCACTGCTGATAGGCATTCAGTGATACAAAATGGCAAGGAGAACAGGTATATGAAATGTCTTCCTATGGTGTATGTCCTTTGTCTTCACGTTTTGAAAAAAATCTTAATGCCTAATTTAAAAATCGGTAATATTCTAGTGTAATTCGTAATGAAAGGTGAGTACAGATCTTTGGTTATGGAGCACCTGTAAGTACGTTGGGTTTGGGGTGTTTTTTCTATACTGAATTTGTACAGCCTTTATACTTAGAATGTAAAAGGAATTTCATAATTTCTGGTTAAATACGTGTCATATTTGTACAGCCTTCATCTTAAATCAGTTGTTAACTCCTGTGGCCAAACAACATATGCTTGCAGAATAGAGTTCTTGAGTGTCAAACTACAAAGTCCATCTCTTGGGCCATTCTGTTTTTAGCTTTTACTCTAAACGGTACTTTGCTGGGATTATTTGGAATACCTTTTTTCCTACAAAGTCTCAGGGAGAAAGTAAATTTTTTCTCAGCAAAGATGAAACAGTGATAGGCCGTTGTCTTGGGACTCGCAACATTCCTTACTGATATTCTTGTAGTTTAATTGCTTCCCAGTATTTACAGAACTCATCTTGAGAAGGGAAGCACTGATATCTCTATATTCTGAGTGGAAACAGTCAGAGAAATAGGAGGTTTCCTCTTACTTCACTGAAAGAAAGCTTGACTAGAGCCTGCAGTGGAGTTGGAGTTAACCAGTTCATGTGTTAGCACCATAGCCATGTCTAGTTTCATCCTTCCTTGCATACTGAAGTCTGAGGAGAGCTGTAGAAAATTCATATAATAGTGAATGTACACATTAGGTGTAGAGTAACACTGGTGAAGAGCACCGCTGAATTTCCTGGCTGGATGAGGTATTTTAAGTTCCAACTAATCGTTCTTCACACAATGTTACTGGTCTCAAAACCTGCTGACAGTTGAGTAGTTGACCGTTGCCAAGAGTGTGCCCAGGCAGGTAGTACTTCATAAAAATGCTTAAGCTTGGAGGAATCTGTACCTCTCCCCTGCTCTTCCCAGTTTTCTCCACCTCTTCTTAATTTTATGATGTATTGCAAAAGGTGGAGAGAAAATACTTTTCTTCTAGCTTGGGCTGAAGTTGGTGAAAGATCCGCCATTTTTCGCACAGAAGTTTTCCCCTTCCTTTGGGCAGTTTATAAGAGTGGCGAAGTTGCAATGTTGGATGGAAAGTCTGCCCCTTATTTGAATGCTGGAGCCCAGGGATCTAGTATATGATTTTGACCCTGTCTCCTCCTCCTAGCTTTCTGCAAATCAAAAGTGATTGAGGACAAAGTCAAGTATAGGTTTCAAGAGTGCAAAAAGTCTAGTTGGCCAGCTGGGCCTGCAGTCAACTGTCTTGTGAAGTACAGCACAGCTATTGGATACTGTCTCTTAGTGTGTCTGTCTTCAGCCTTCTTTGGTTAGTCCTTGTTAATGTTACCAGGTTTGTTTAGATTAAAGCTCACTATCCTTTCTTTGATTTGATATGTTAATAGCTTTTTGCTTTCCAAACTCTTTTTAAGAAATGAATCTTTCTGTCCAAAATAGTTTTGATCAGATTTGTTAACTTGATTTCTTGGTTTAATAATATTTTTGTTTGTCTTTAAACTAATGTCTTTGCAATATCTCGTCTACAATTTCTTCATTACATTTTAAAAAGTTGTTATTTGCTAGGAATGCTTGAGATTCAGATGCCCTCTTAATTTAGGGAGTAACTTCATACTTGTAAGGAGCTGTCTTTTGAAGTTGTTTGTTTGGTTTTTTTTTCCACAGCTTGGAGTTTCTTAGCAAACTGCTGTCTTTCTCATTAGTCATGTGCGGGCATTAAGCTCAAAGTTAACATTGAGTAGTCCTTGGCAATTATATTTATATCTTCACTGTTGAGGGGAAAAAAAAAAATCTTTACAGCGTTTATCACTTATTTTTGATTACTAGTTTCGTTACTCCTTAGAGGGTTAAAATGAGAAAAGATAATGAGAATGCATTGCTAATTGTTTTACAGTTGGAGATTTCTCATTGTCTGAGACACTTCACCACTAACCTGCACATTCATTTTGGCACAGTTTCAGAATTACTGTGATTTGGCACAGAATTCAGAATTTATGTCTGAGTATGTTTTGTTGCTATAACTGGACAAAGGCATGACTGATCACATGAAATGCAGGGCCCTTTAATGCAGGCTAAATCAACATGGCTGTTGATGGGACTGGCTCTTCAGAATGAATTCTGCCTGCCTTCAGGTGTTTCTGTATCTCTAGTATTACTGTACTGTTGACTTGGCAGAAAGTAACTTTAGAAACTTGTAATGTTTTCTCTTCTGTGAGCAAGATCTGAAGTAGAACCTGGGCTTTGTATAAATCCAAATTTTGTTAAAAACGCTTTCTGTGCTTTTGAAATGTCTATTGGTGGCAAATGTTAAAGGCAGGAGTAATTACTATAAATTATTTGTCACAGATTGGATTTTAGATTTTCCATAGCCAGTCATACTGACTGTGACCCAGTGAAAACTTGGGAGACTTGCCTTAAAAGGCAAGATACACACATTTAAAGTCTCTATTCTTTCTGTAGAGAAAGTGTTAAAATGTTGCTTGTTCTGTTTTTTTCTTGCATGTTGAATTCTGAGAAGGCACTATTTCTGAAGGTATGGGAACTTTGAAGAATCAATAGTCAGCTAGTGGACTTGATGTTGGAGAAAGTAGTCTTGAAGACCCAGTGGCAGACTGGTAGAAGCAAAGGGTTTTTAAGTCTCACCTCCCTACTTTAACACATTGTGTGTCTGACACAGGCATTCTGCTGGAGATGGCTCTGTTGGCTTTCCTCCAAAGCCTGAACATTAATTAACGCACTTGGGGACTCATGAAACACTCTTCATAATGATAGGCAATTGCTTTAAATCATTTGTAACATAAGTGATTTACAAGAGCCTCAGATTTTTAATAAGCCTTGGCACTAATTGGTGAATGTTAGCTCGCTGTTTCTGTGTTCCCAGGCTAGTAATCCAAGGAAGCTGGTTTTTAGCAAAGCTTCAGAGGAAGAGCTATAAATGCTTTAATATGTGCTGTGGTACCTTATTGATACCTTTAGCTATCACATCTTTGGAGGCAGGTAACTAAATAAAACTTGGGTCTAATGTGTTGTGAAACTACATTCTTTCTCCTTTATCTTTTGCGACAAACTGAGAGGAAAGGAGCTAGAAGTGCTTGAGAGGCTAGTGACCAATTATTTGGGGATTATGTGACTTCAGGGTATTGCTTTAGAGATGAATGTTATTTCCTTACAATTTCTTAACACCCTGGGGTAATATAAAAGCTGGGCTGTCTTGCAGGGTTCATTGTAATGATGCCTGCAGTTGGCATCCTGCTGGATTCAGCATTGTAGACAGATGCATGCATGACTCGGATGAAGTTTTCTAGATTCTGAAAAGTTAAAAGCAAAACCAAAAGAAGTAGATTTTGCTAACTGTTTTAGGCAGCAGTTCTGATGTCTGAGCCATGAGGTGTTTTCTACTAGTGCTTTGGGACAAAGCCAGAGAAGTGGATGAGCTGATAGTTGTAGCTGGACTAGAATTCTCGTCTCCAAAGTCTGACATACCAGAATGAGATAACAGGACTTGAATTTCAGTATGTGTAACTGTGAAGTACCTTGGAAGAATGCAGTGTCATGAAACTGTCACTGACATTACTGATTTCTTGGTCTCGATCAGTATTTCTGAATTACAGTTGCCTTACTTTTAAAGCAAACTGAAGATGAATGACATACAGTGTTGTTGCCTGAAAGGCCCAATACATCTTGTGGCCTCTCAGTTTTTTCCCATCCGTATCAGTACTAGATAATGTGAAGGCTGCAAAGGGTATTGTGGTCCAAAGAAAGAAAAAGATTTCATGCTCCTATTTTAACATATTATCCAGCTGGCAGGTTACTGGCCATTCCACTGAGACAGCACTGTATACCTTCCTTCAGAGCCCGAGTAGTACTTTGGAGAATTTAAGGTCTGTGGCTAAGCAATATGAGATGCTCTTCAACAGTCATACCTCTTTCTTTAGAGAACACCATGTCTTCTACATTTACAGGTTGAATAATAGTAGCCTTTTAGTTTGGGCCTCTCTGGACTTGGTAAAGATCATGAAATTCTTGGGTTCGATTGTGCCTGTGAAGTCCCTCAGTTATCAGATGTAGATCAAGATTTGACAGCTTGCCCAACTTACACTGATTTCTTTTAACACGTTCTGAAAACAAAGTGTTTCACCAAGGTAATGGAACTATCACCAGTCTTTTGGAAAGTGCAGTTGGTGGGGTTTTTTTAATGCGTTTTTTAATGTTAAGATGGATACGAGTTATATCAGTGCTTCATACTAGTGCTTTGGCACAGGACACAGAGTTATTCGGGTTCTGTACATCAAGGAGGCCATCACTGCAAACTGTTGCTAATGGTAAGAGAATGATCACTTCATAGATGCCAGGTGCTACAGTAAGGATGCTTTTTAAGAGGAGTGTAGGGTAGTTACTGCTGTTTACATAGAAGAGGGCTGTTAGAGTTCATGTTCTTTGATAAATCAGTTAATAGAAGGAAAAGTTTGCTTTTTTTTTCCTATGCAGTAGTTTGTTGTTGGTCCATCATGCTCTTCTTTCTGCCTCTGCCTGAACCCAAACCCCCTCACAGCCTGACAGAAATGTTCGCTTACGCAGCTAGCCCTGCTTCAGTTTGTACTACATCCTTCTCCAGTGTTCGGCTGCGACATCAGAAGTCGATGTCCATGTCAGCCTCTGTGCACACGAAGATGATGTTGCCTCCAATAGACAATGGCGCAGATAACTTCAGGCCTATGTAAGAACCTGAAATCGTTGTGAAACTAACTTATACCCACTGCTTCTTAACTTTGTGCTGTGGAATTTTAGTCCTAGACTGTTCTAGTATATATTGCCCACAAGATGTGTGTTTCCTCATTTATTTTTTTTTAGTCTTGTTTACATTTGTCTTGTGGTGTGTCAGGCTGTCTGTGACATAATCCTGCAATAATGAACCATAATTTTTTTCCTGGTGTTAGGAGTATTGGACATTCCCTATTGTCAAAGTTTGTGGGAGACTTTAACTGTGTATCCTGAAGGACTTCACTACTTGGAGGAGTTGGCTTATAGAGAATTTTGTGTAGGATACTTTCAAATTAGCAAGATTTTCAAAGATATATGTATAGGATGTGGAGGGAGAGATGCTAAAGTTGCCTATTGATTCTCTTTCCTGGGAGGAACCTTTACTCATCTATTCTTTTACCAGTCTTCTCAGTGAAACATTGTATGCCTAGTTTATCTGGTCTTTTCCAGGATACTCCTGTTGCATTTTTCTGCCTATGTGGGTTTTTGTTTCGGCAGCCTTTTAATCCTAACTTCTTACAAGTTTTGATTCCATACAGTGCTGTAATAATGTTGATCTTTCCAACCTTGGCTTATATGAAAGTGTCTGCTTATGCTTTACTGTAGAACGTAGTGTTTTGTGTTTCCTGCAGAACCATAGTGCTTCTGTAAAGAAGTTCTAGCATTGTTTTTTGTTTTCTGCCCTAGCACTATTCCCGATCAAAGAACTCCTGTTGCTTCAACTCACAGCATTAGCAGCGCAACCACACCTGATCGTATTCGTTTCCCCAGAGGAACGGCTAGTCGGAGCACTTTCCATGGCCAGCTCAGAGAGCGACGTACTGCTACCTACAATGGACCGCCAGCCTCCCCCAGTCTGTCCCATGAAGCAACACCACTCTCTCAGACTCGAACCAGGGGTTCCACTAATCTATTTAGTAAACTAACTTCAAAACTAACAAGAAGGTAAGCCTCTTAAAATGGTAATGCAACATTTCCTTTCTGTTGGGTAATAGAAATACCCAGTAGTTCCTTGCTTAGGTAGTTGTGTCCACGTTCTCTGATTAATGGCTTAACAATTTCTGCAACTTAAAATGCACTGGCTTGTGATTTTTCATAGTTCTTTTTAGTTACAGAAGCCATTTGTTTTTAGCCGTTGAATCAAGTGAGATAAAAAGTGAGACAGTTTCGTCTGTGCTGTTTCTTCTGTGCTCTTTACCCTCATGTCTGAGGTACAAATGCTGCAGAGCTGAAACATTTCTGCTCGGTTCAAAAGTTGATCACTGGCTATGTGGTCTATCAGTAGACGGCATAAGCTAGGATCCTGGTCTTGATACTTAATGTCGCGTTAGAAGCTCAGGTTGTGCTTCCCAATCACTTCAGCTATCAGTGTTCCCAGAATAATCTTGCTGGCAGTACACAAATGAAAATATCACAGGTGAAAGGGTAGGGGCAGGAGATGAAAGCTTCTTTTGGCAGTAATGCTAGCATAGGTCATCTTAAAATAATGGCAGTGCTATGCTTTGTCTAGGCAGGAGTCTGGTCAAACCTTGAAAAACTTACTACTATTTTGACCTTTAGTTCATGTGCAGATTCTGGTTTTGATGTGAAGGTGTGTTGGTCTAGCCAAAGCCTAGCTTAAACAGGTGTTGTCCCTGCACTAACAGTTTTTATTCGAATTGGACTTCTAGATTCAAATGCATGTGTGATTCAAGTTAGTTCCTACAAACCCTGAAATTGAAAACCACCTATTTTCCTTCTGTGTTTAAAACCTGTTGGTTCACATACCGCATGCTTTAGACCACTTCTGATATCCACAACTTGTGTTCACAGAAGTGAGGATTTGTTTGCATTTGCCTTAAGGTAATCTCCATGCTTTTGTGCCCTCCTCATCATGTGAAATTTTTTGGACCTATATCATTCTGATCTTGGCCTGCTTGCTTTTGTATTGGGCTTATATCACATCACCACCAAGCCATTTCCTTCCTGTCTGTTCTGTAACTATATGTGCCTCCCTCTCAGCATCCTCTTCGTAGCCTCCCATTCCTACGAAGTAATGCTAAGCCAAACTCCGTTTTTTCACAACTGGCTGATTTCAATTTAGAGTGAATTTCTTTGAAAACGTGGAAGTTGTTTCTGTGAAAAACGGAAACGTGACAACCTAGCCTTTGGTAAATATTTTATCCTGCTCAGCACTCAGCTCTCTGCCAGCTAACACTTCCCTGGGAAGTACTGTGCTGTATGAAATTCTACCCCACCACCACCACTTTCTTCCTCTGTTGAGAGAGAGATAAAAGTTTATTTTGAATTTTTTTTTTTAAGAATCATCATCTGCTTTTTGTCAAGTGAAGTCTTAATCAGACACATCCTCTTGGCACGTCTGTCTTTCTGTACTTTTGTTTGTAATATCCTTACTTAATTTTCCATCTGACGTTCCAAACGCGGACACTCAAACTGTGAACATGCAAGCTTTTCGCTCAGTTGTTTAGGCAGCATTCAAACTTCTATCATTACCTCTGAGTTTCAACATTTGCAGTGCAGTGTGGTTTTCTTGAAGTTTTTCCCCACTACTTTTGACAATAGCTTAAATTCCATCTGGACTTGATTAAACAACATGCAGTTGTAACACAATAGCACTCTTATAGATGGTTAAGTTTGCACTTGGAGGGCCTCTTACAGTTGGGCTCTGTTGTACTGGGTGCTGTGCAAACTACTAAGGAGGTGGGTAGTGCCATCAAAGGACATGGTTGTGTTTTTTTCTCTTTAAATGAATTTAAAAAAAACCTTAAAACCTTAATTTATCCTAGCATTCTCTATGGTGAATCAGAATACTTTGGATTATGAACTGCTTATGGTCTTGTGTAGGTAATTGTTAGTTTCTGCCACTAAATTAACTAAATATTTAAGGCACTTTTAGGCACAACATGGCTGACCTAATGTTATGAAGGAAGGAACCTAACTCCGAAGATACTCAAAATCTAACTATAGTGAAGTCATTGATTTTTTGCTTTCTATTTGAAATACATGAAGAAAATATAAACATATTTTTATGTGGTTATGAGTTTTAAAGTGTTCTGACACCAGTACATATTATAATTCATAACAACTACTGGTGGCATATTTCCCAGAAAAATGGAAGTTTGGAAGTAGTGATGCTAAGAGTTTGACTCTTCAGACCCTAAATCATCTGCCTAATCTCTGAATGTGTTGACGTGTAATTTCATTGTGCGTTTTAAATGAGATCTTTTTGCATGTTTCACTCTAAATGGCTTTTTCAATTTATTTTGTACAAAACTTTTTGTTAACTATTATTTTGGCTTAATTTCTTTTAGAAACATGTCATTCAGGTTTATCAAAAGGTAGGATTTATTTATATTTAAAAAAAAAGTGGCTCCTGCAATTAACAACAGATTTGGCTTTCTAGCCTTGGTTTTCCGAAAACTGCTGAGAACTAAATACTTTCTTTCTTGAGAGGAAAGCATAGAATAAATCCATTAACTCATGATGATACTTAAGAATCTGTGGCACCTGTATAACAAGATGCTAAGCATGCCTTGTGAATTCTTCTTTCTTTGATAGAGTTGGTAGTACCAAAGTAATTCTGTTCTCTGTACTAATACACTTAGCATGCTTATGTTTGAAGAATGAGGTGTTTGATAACAATGATGAAAGTATAAACAAAACATAAGGTTACAAGCAAATAAAGGTAAGTGATGCTAAATTTACATTCTTATTTGTTTTATGATATTTTATTAAAAAATCAGTTTGAAGTGTTGTCTGCCGTTGGTACAATAGAAAGCAAACTGAACACAGTTGTGAATGTAACAGTTTTGTGTGGAAGATTGAATGAAGACGCGATGGCTGTGTATTTTAAAATGGGATGCATTTGCTGAAATGATTTGCAGCTGAAGTGCAAATAGAGCACTTGGGTTATAAACAAAAAGTATAATATTTATGCAAAGTTATTAACAGAAGGAAAAAGCTCAGAAGTCTGAGTCACATTTCAAGCCCAAAGGGTTGAATTTAGTTTTGCAATTTGGGAATGAATTGACCTGCTATATATCTTGTTACTGCATTATGGCTCATGGAAGTTGGCTGTACAATTTTCACCCACAAGTAAATTCTCCAGTAGGATTTTGTAATACTCTGTTTAGTTGTATCATATCTTGGAGCTTCTTAAAGGGCGGTACTTTCAATTTCCAACTACTGATCAAAAATAGGGAGACGGGGCCAAAAACCAGACATCTGTTTTAACTTTCAAAACGCAAGGCTGTGCATGTGACCATGATTTGAAGTTTGTGAGACCATTTCAAGGAAATACTTAAATTAGGGAGAGCCGAGATATGTAAATTGATGCCAAAATTTGGGTTTATGTACAGTCTGAGTCTAAAGGTACCTTGCCCAATTAAATTGAGTAAATTCCATGCCACGGTAATAATAATCAGAGCTCTTCCAAACATGACTGTGTTTAGAACTGGTGTCAGTTGGGTTGGCTGGCATTGTCACAGCTGCCTTGAGAAAAGGAACATGCACCAACTGTTAGTTAAGGAAAGAAACCCTCCAACACAGCATACATATGAAACTGAGCAGCAGCAATAGTGTTAACCCATCGTGCATCCGGAGCTGTGGGGTGCATACCGCTTTGTAAGAGGGAGGTTTTGTCTCTCTATGGTCACACTGCTCTTTAAAACAAAGGATTGTGGTATGTGCAACCTCCACAACGGGGTGCACGTAAGTTTGTTACACTGCTGCTCTGAAGAAAGATAGAAAATGCTAATATGAGTACAGTTTTAGACTAGAAGGTTACTGATCAAATTTTAGACTTAGGGTAATCTTTAATAATTTATTAAAATTTTTCTTTGACTTGAGGCCAGGAATCTTAAGACTATTGTGGAATAGCTGCTACAGCTCCCATTAATATGTCTTTTGAATAAGATATTTGCAAAGTCTTACACCACCTACATAGGACCAGACTCTGCTTTTTAAATTCTGTTTTAAGCGTGTATGGTGTCCCTCCATACCTGATCTGTATGTAGGTAGAAAATTAAATTGAAAATGTTGGGGGGGTTGGCAATTTTTTCTCTCACTCTGTGCTATGAATCTTACCTAAGGTCACTGTCCTTGATACTGAAAGAACTGCTGTAACCCAGTAACACGTGTATATAGTTCTGCAACATGAGTTGAGGGAGGTGAACAAAGGTAGATAATCAGTCACTTCTTTTTAAACTGCTGAGTTCTAATATTGTACTCAGTACACAGAGGTGTTAAATACATATACCTCTCTTGTACCATGCACTGTCCTTGCCAATCTGCATATTGTGAAAGTCTTAACTTTTTTTCCGACAGCAAAAATCAGTTTCTATGTTCTGGATTTTATTGCAGCATCTTTTCTTCATTTTCATAAATTGATCTTATTTTAGTGTCTTGCACTTTTTGCTGTTTTTTCTGTATCTTTTTAGACAGTTTTCTTTGTGTTTATTTGGATTTTTAACACAGAGTGTGCAAAGATGTAAAGAACAGAAAACACAGGGTAACTCAGGACAGATGTATGGAAACAATCTTGTTTTTGAAAGCCTTTCACAAACCATAAAGGAGATAGTGTGTAGGCATTGCATGACATAACTTTCCTATATATTTGTTCCATTTTCAAGACAAGGAGCATCTTGGTCCATAAAATTAATTTATGTAAAAAACCAAGCAAAAGCAGAAAATTTAGAGCATAAACTAGCAATTTGCGGTTCCTGCAGAAGTGAAGATTGTATGAAGCAGTGAGGCCGCCTCAGGGCTGCATCTGACTTGCAGACCCACCAAAACAATATTGGCAGTACAGTAAGTGACTGTTCCCAAAGCACCAGTGTGGAACTGTAGAACTGGACCATAACTGTGTCTTTCGTGAAGGAAGGACCATCTAGAGAGACTGGCACAGCTTTCCAAAGCTTGTCATGATCGCTCACATTTTGAGGGTGTGTGTCACTGAATGGAGTTCCTCGGGCTAAATGAATGCAATGCATGGAAAAACTGAACAAAGTAAGGATTTTCTGAGAGGTTTCCATGAAAGTGTGTTTGTTATTTCAGAGAGACAGGTATTTTGTAAATAATGACTTTTCTTAGATTTGGAATGCAGTGGATTAGAAGCTGAACAGTTTGGCTTAATTTCAACCTAAAAAAAAGGGGGATATAAGAACATCATTAGATATTTTTTTCTCCCAGACTTTTCTGGGCAGATTTCAGTAACAGTAAAACTCTTCATTGTTGGGGTGACTGGTTATGCTCCCATTTTCTGCAACCGTTTTCAAGTTTAAAAACAAAACAAAACAAAAACAACACAAAACCACACACACACAAAAAAAAAACCCTAAGCGCTTTCAGCTCTTGACAAAGCTGTTGTCTTCCACTTCATAGGAACACAGTAGGCTTTAAAGTTCAAGTACTCTCAATTTTTCTGTTGAGCAGTGTCTTCGGACTCGTTGCTTGCTTTGCCCAGTAAAACAGGCCTTTCCCAGGTCATCTGACAGGTGTGGGCTTGTTCAGTTGGTATACGTGATGGTTCCTCCCCTTTCTCGGTCCTACAGAGTTGTCCTAAAGGATGAGTTCACGTGCTGTATAGGCAGACCTTAAAAGTCTTTCCCCACCTTCTCATATAACCACCATAGATAAGTAGCTTGGGATCTCATGAAAATAACTACCATTAAAAACCCGCTTTGAAGCTCTAGGATTAGTTGAGGACTTGTCAGTTGTTTTCTTCTCGTTATCTTCCTTAACCTTTTCTGCTTGTGGCAGCTTCCCAGCAGAGACTCTGTCATACCGTGTGCTGTGCAGTACCTCAGAGAGTGGGGCTCTGATCAGCTGCTGTTGTGGCAAGCAGCTCGTAGCTCAGTGACTTACCAGTTTCTCAACTGAATTGCTGTTGCAAGAGCAGTGTGGATTTTGAATGAGGAGGGGGCTCCATAGCCTGTACAGCGAGTGCTGCCACCGTGCTCCTCACAGTGCTAGCACAGCGTCTGTTCCCTCGTGGCAGGGACTGCACAGAGTCATCTTACAAAACTGTTCCCTCGCCACAGCCCTCAAAAGGAAGGGAAGAAGAAAACTAAGCCTTGTAGCACCCCACACACCCTGATACAATACCGCTGTGCATCAGAAAATGAGCTTACTGTCTTACATTCCTATCCCTAGGCACCTGTCAACAAAACTGCTTTAATAATTTGCATTATTCAGTGAAGCAGTGTACTTAGAGTAGTCTTGATAAGAGCCTTAGAAAGGCAACTTTCCTCTGAGCAAAATTTAACCCTGAGATGTTGAACCATGGTATTGCAGTAATGGGAAGGTAGAGGAAGATGATTTTCCTTTTAATTCTGCTTGATACTGGGCTTTTTTAAAATGGTAGTGATCAGCAATGTAGCTTTAAGCAATGCAAGAAGACAGAAAGCTTAAGCTTACTCTTGAACATGGAAGATGTGTCAGTGTGGGCATTAATAGGATGGAGTTACCACAGCTTGAGAAATCTTGTATTTACCTCTGAACTTTTGTCAAAATGTGTATGCATCTTGTTCTTACGCACTAAGGTGTTCGGTGTTGTTTAAACACCTAATACCTTGGAGCTGGTGTGCCCGCCAACACAGCAGTGTGACCAGACTTGTCTGTAAATAGGGAATCTTTTGAAATATTCATTGTATTCCCAGATAAAAATTTTAAATACATTAGCCAAAAAATAACTGGGAGTTATTTCTCTTTTAGGAGGTAATAAATAATACAATGACTTCAATATGCTTTATAACTTTAGTTTCACATTTTCTGCTTTTAGAAGTTCAACTTTGTTCAGTGAGTTCTACAGTATTGAGATATATATAAACATACATTGTAAAAGTTAGTTATGGTCTTTTTAAACACTGTAGTTTATAGACTTCCATTTGGTTTGACAGTGTGTTATATCCTGAATTTGGTCTAACCTACAAAGTTCTTTACATCTTTGTTGCTTTGTATTTTAATACACCTTTGGTGTCTTTTAGCAGTATCTTTTAGCAACTACTCAGATATTGTATATTGTAGTGTAAGATTTGTCTTCTCTTTCCCACTTCCTTTTGCTTCTGCATTCTTTTCAATGAGGCTCCCGACTGAATTTGAGAGGAACGGGAGATTTGAGGGCTCAAGGTGAGGGTAAAATTTTTGTTTAAAATGTTACTTAGGTGAGTTTGAACCTTTCTCCCCTTGATTATGTGGCATAGTGGCTTCAGGCAGCAGCTTTTGTTTTGTGTAAGGCTTTGAAACTAAAAAAAGAAGCATTTCTGTCTGCAAAACAGCTATGAAAGCACTGACTGACTTGGTTCTAAACTTTCATCTTTGCTGTTGCCTTTTCCCTTGTGTGTTTTTTTTTTGCGTTTTAGTCATTATAATTTGCTGTTGTCTTGTAGATGTGTAGGTAAGTGGTCTCTAGTGAGGCTGCAAACATGTGGGATAACCACTGAAGGGTGGTATTTCTCATCTCCAAAATCACAATCATTAAACAGTATTTTTCATGTTATACTCTTCTAAAATCTGCAGATAAAAATACTGGAAGTGATCAAACCTGTGCTGGTTCTGCCAACTGTTTTCAAGTAGAAAAAGCTTTCAAAACCGAAATGAGCACTGAATAAAAGTTAGTGTTCCCCCTGCCCCCTTACAGCCTTATTAAACTAAAACCTTAAAGTTAAAACAAAGGGGTTTTTTTAATTTGCTTGCTGGATTTTGTAACATCTGGCAAATCACGTAGCTGGATTTGACAGCATAATCCTGTGACTCTTGCAGTTACTGGAAGTCTTTCTACCAGAAGGTAAAATTATGAAATAGGTTAACTTCGAGAAATGTATGTATTTAGTTTTGACCTTGCTGTCACTTTTTACTTAACCTCTTCATAATTGTCTGCTTAATGGTGGTAGAAGAAAAGCATTGTGTAACCAGAAATTAATTGCCAACTATTTTAAAGAGCAGCTTGACTTAATATTGGAAATTGAACTTTGAAGCTCAACATGAGACCTAAACTGCATGGTTTAGGGTCAGTTGGGTTAGGTATTTTCAGAAAATATTTAAGCGTGACAGTCAACATATTTAAACCTCTTGTCCTGTCCAAAAGTAAATTTGAAGAGGAGACTGGCAGCGTGCAAATATTCATAAAGAAAATCTCTCTTATTTTTTCCCTGGAGGTCCAAAAGTAGTTCCTTATTCTTCAGCTGCGTGACCACTGATTTTGATTGAAGTAGAAGAATCATTGAAGCTAGAAATTTCTGGAACGTTTCTTTTCTTTGTCCTGTATAACTTCTATTTATCCTTACCAAAGGAAAAGCTTTTTTTTTTAATTTAAAAAAAAAAAAAGAAAACAAAGTCGCAGACTTGGGAAATACTGCCTCAATATTTTGTGCTTTATCTCTTATAACTGACAGTAATAGTAACCCATTTATTTGTCATCTTTATTAACAACATTGAAGTGGTGTTTGGTATTGGCTTCCAACTCTCCTTCCTGCATGTCAGCCTCAAAGGCACTTAGCTGCAGAGCCTGTAGCAGCAAAAGATTTCATGGCTTTACCTCTGCCAGTCGTTGATATTAAACAAATTACTGACCAACTTAGAGACGAAGGGTTTCCTCCCTCTTGAAGGTAACCCCGATAGCCTACAGTGTGGGGGGTCTCTAGTGATAGTCTCAAACACTTAACCAGTGCAGGAAAGCCAGAGTAAAACTGAACCAGCCCAGAACTGGGTGGCACTTGTTGGTCCTAGGGGAGTAGGTGGGTGACCCCTGGCAAGGTCCCCCCAATCCTGCTGTCACTCCTCCTGCTTGCAGCTCACTGCTGTGGGACTCCAGGGGCCCTCCCAGTGGTTGGTCTCCGACCCGCTGCACAGGAGGAGGTGCAGAGGAGCCCCCAGGATCTTTCTGCACGGGCTCATCCCCGTTGCATGTAAGCGGGCACCTCCCAGGGGCCGGCGCTCCCGCGATCTGGGCTGAGCGCCCTTTTGTCACCAGTCACCGCTATTTGAATGTTCCAGAAACTTCTAGCACAGAGCTGGCATTTCAGCTGTCCACGTGGCCTGAGAATAGGGGTATGAGCAGAACCCGCCTTAAAATGGAGTTGTAGGGGATGCATGTAGCTGTGCCTCCGCAAGGTCATTTCCCTCATGCTCCTGACTCCAGTGACTTCCAGTTGTGTCACCCGTCGTACCATACCTTTGTTTCAGCCCAACAGCTAACGCTTCACCTTGACTGTGTGTTTGCACAGCAGCTAGGAAGGCGGGGCATTGCTCGCAGCTGGAGCCTCTAGATGCTGCTCTAATACCGGTAGTGTGCGTTGAGTGTTCGTTTGCTGCACTAACCTGAAGCGTGGAGGAGGTAGCTGGCCCTGCTGACTAGTAAATTCCTGTCTTTCAGCCGCAATGTAGCTGTGGATCAGAAGGACGAGAACAAGGAAGCCAAGCCTCGGTCGCTGCGTTTTACCTGGAGCATGAAAACCACCAGCTCCATGGATCCCAATGACATGATGAGGGAAATACGAAAGGTCCTGGATGCCAATAATTGTGACTATGAACAAAGAGAGCGTTTCTTGCTTTTCTGTGTCCATGGAGATGGGCATGCGGAAAACCTTGTACAGTGGGAGATGGAGGTGTGTAAACTGCCAAGACTGTCCCTGAATGGAGTTCGCTTTAAGCGGATATCGGGAACATCCATAGCTTTTAAAAACATTGCTTCCAAAATTGCCAATGAGTTAAAGCTGTAACAAGAAAAATAGTTAAGTTGTAAATTAGTTAGCAATTTCAAGTGTTTTTGAGAATTCCGATGGAAATGTATAGAATAACATTTAGGCAATAACTTCTGCATCCTTCTGAATAGTGATATTAAAAAAAAAAAAGCTGCTGAGCTGGGAGGGAGAGTTGGACTTTTTTATAAGTGCACTACAGCATTAAAGTTGCCTACTATGTAAAATATTACCCCTTCTGCTTTATTTCCATTGCTCCTAAGTCTTTGACAACAAATTGAAACACAGAATATATTCATTTAAATATGCCTCCTGTTTGTGTGGATGTGTGAATGTACAGTATGTGTGTATAATATATAAAGTATTATATGTAAACAATTTCATTTACAACATCGAGCTGTACTAGTACCTCTTTTTGGGCTAATTTTGGTGCTAAAAATTGAAATGGCCAAGGAGGAAACACTTGAGTTAATATTTAAAATAACTGAAGCGATAACTAGTAAATGCAGGTTTACAGTTCACTACTGTGTTAAGAAAAAAAAGTGTGTGAAGGGTTTGGATTTACGGTTGTGAACATTATTAGTCCTGTTTTCTAAGTAGATCTCATGAGATTATTAAAAATTCACTTTTACTGAGTAAGTCTTGCATTATATTTTGCCCACCTATTTATTATTTAAGTCTGAATCAAATTTTTTAAATGTAGTTGATTTGTGCATTAAAATTTGGGTAAATGCTTCCATTTTTCTGCTTCTGCTAAACGACTAAAATTGTATCTTTGTCCTTTTGGCTTATGAGTATTAATTGCAGCTAAGAACACCTTTGTGTTGTTCCACCGTTCCTCTATAGAACGAGGCAGTCTAAACAGATGTGCTAAATGCTGACTAGTGACTTTTTCTTTCAGACCAAGTTCTCCGTGTTAGACTAGGTCAGACTGATACAAAGCACAAAAAGACTCTCAAATAACAACTGTGTTTTGATGCAAGTCGGTGCCGTTCCGAGGCGTTGCTGCCCGTGTGGCAGTACTGTCCTTTGCGTTCTGGGCGCGCGCAGTATTGAAACCCAAAAGCAGGAATCAAATTGGCTTCTGATCTCCTCTGTAACGTCCAACTTGCTAAACTGCAGCCATAGGCGGTAGCAGTTACAGCTTTTCCTTGCAGCTCTCTTCCAGCGTGCTTCCACTTGGCTCTGGTTGTGTTGCTTTTGATGGCTTTGTGCCAGTTGTGTCTCTAGCTTCTGCTGCTGAGGGAGTCCACTGCTGCTCCTTTAACGTGCAGCGTGGAAACACCCCCCCTTGATGAACTCTGATGGCCAACTAGCTTTCTGTAGGACGCGAAGCTACGCTGGGATGGTCCCCGCTGTTTAACCGTCACTGTGGTGAGCTGGATTTGATTTGGCAAACTAGAATGACGAGATTTCCTCATGCGTTGTTTCCTACTGATACTCGGTTTATTTCATCAAGGACTTCTGTAGATAATATCTTGCATTATCTACTTGACTTTTTGTATTAATGTTTTATGGTTATATTTCAGTGAAGCACTTAAGCATGTACTTAACATGTGCTTTAAACTGGAGCCTAAATTTGCGTTTTAAATTTGCAGTGAGCTCGTAGTTATTCATAGTACACCGTTCAGATTTGACCCGAGGTGAAAATGCAAAATCCTCAATATTTTGCAAGTTGGTTCTTGTGATCTGTAGTCTGTGAAGGCAGCAGACTTCCCCTCTCTTTCCCCCTAAGCAGTGATATTGATTATGCTAGTTTAAAGGGTAATCATAGTTGTTAAATGTAGTAAATATTCCTGAATTTGCATTTTACTCTCTGTATATTCTGTATCATGCCATGGCTTGAGAACTCCAGGTGCTACCGGAGTTCAGTTGGCTTTCAGTGCTCTGCCCATGCCTGTACTGCTCAGTATGGTTTTTTCCATGAAAACTCCATTTTGTAATAGCAATAAGACATTTCAGGGCAGTCATTGTACTTTCTCAGGTGAATGGTCACCTATCCTTTCACTTCTGACATTTTAAGCACTCCTCCAAATGTATTTTTTTCACCTGGCAGTGCACTTTGTTGTCTGAACTGAAAAAGTGTTCTGATGAATGATGTAAATCTGTATTCGATGGAAGTTCCAAAAGGTTTCATATTAAAAGTTTTCTGAAATACTCTCTTCCTACTTCACCTGTTAAGTATGTAATCGTTTCTAAAAAGTGCACCAGTATCATACTTTGGATATTTAAAGTTTGTACTTAAGTATTTTTCTTAAAGTGTTCTCAAAAGCTTCTTTCAGCATAAGTCTGTATTTGAGGTATTAAAAAAAATTATAATCGGAAACAGATTTTTAACAGCTTCCTTCCCAAATGCCTTATAAAATTATCAAGCTGCAAGAATACACCCTTGTTTCTTTAGCCTACTGCTCTCTTGCTGTTCAAGCCTCTAGGAGCTGCCTGGAAAGGAAAGCTGCTTTCTTCAGATCTCCAGACCAAAGACGAACTCCTTCCCGAACAGAGGCCTTTACTTGTTCATATTCCTCGGGGATCTGTGTAGGTTTATCAGCACTGCTGCTGATACGGCTCCGCAGAGCTACTGCTGGTGTTTCTTTCCTCAAGAGATGAGTTTTTAAAAATAATGGGAGGTCAGTGTGTGGTGAGGAGGTGGCAGCAGGCCTAGGCCTTTTGGGATGTTGCCTGTCTCGCAACCAAGTAGTGGTTTATGTGATGGCATGACTGGTGTCCTGGGACGTGTGGTCTGACTGGTGTGTTGGGGGGTGCATTGGGCCTGTGACTAAAGGTTTGCATTGCGAAAACCCACGACATCCACAAGTCTTTTTGGTTGCTGGGTCTGGCAGAGAAAAATGTCTTAGAGTTTGGGGTTGACTGCTTTAAGTAGAAGCGTTCAAAGATACGTACATTAAAAAGAAATCCTAAACACTGAGCAGGAACAAACAAGTTCAGATAAGCTTTTTGTCATGCAAACCTTCCCTGTACTTAGCCTTTCTAAAACACTTGAGTCTCTTTAGAAGGTCTTAGGTCCTCAAGCATGTTGAGAAGAAGTAGGGAGAGGTAAGTTAGAGGAACAGCTAGTCCTGCTGGTCGAAGTGTTTTGCATGCTACTTTTAGTCAGGCTACAGAATCTGGTCCAATCTTTGTGGATTCAAAGATTTTTTTAGTACAGGTTTGGGCAAGGCTCACCTTTTCCTCTTGTATTACAGTGAAATTTCAAGATCAAATACAGGGAGATACTGTATCCCAGATTTTAAGTGCAGCATTTTTAGTCAAGATAAATTAGATTATTTTTAAAAACATATCTGAAATTAGTATCTACATGTTTTTGTTTAAGAAATTAAGTCAGAGATTCAGGAGTCCTAGTCATATGGAAAGGTTGTAGCAGATCTCAATTTAAATAGATCTCCAGTTAAAAGCTCAGATACACGTGGGCCTATTGGGATAATGTGTAGAGGCTTTTAATCAGTCCTTCCCACAGCTGCTTGTCGTACACAGTGTTGCGGATGGCAATTTAATCAGGACTGCAGCCAACCCAGAGAGCCGTTTTCTCTGCTAAGCCCTGGGCTGGAGCAGCAGTACGTACACGGCCGCCTCAAATTAAACCCTCTTGATCATGCTGGTTCGGTTCCTGAAGGGCTCGGCACCTCGCAGGAGGTTCTCTGTATTTCAGGGGTGGGATGGCTGGGTCTTCCTTGCTGTGCAGTCTGTGATCAGCTCTCCAAGACCACGTCTTTCCTTAGTAACCTAAAGAGTTAAATAGGTAGGGAATCTCAGTAGTAGATGGTATCTCTGCTATCTGGGGGGGTCATAGCCATGTAAAGTTTGTGTTTTCTAATTCATGTTGCAGATGTTTAGGAAGTATTAAATACAGTTTTGAAAAGCTGGTGCCGCTGTAGATTTGCAATTCCCTGTATTTCCAACTGTCAATACAATCTCCTTTCTGTAAGTTTTCGTGGAAAAGCCCTGGAGCTTTCCTGTAAAGATAGGCTCACATTATTACAAAGGGCTGGTGCTGCCAATTAAACCCTGGCTCTGACATTCTGATGAAGTGTGGTTGTGACAATTCCACCTTTGACTGGGATTTTTCCCGCTGGTAGCAGTGAATTATTTCATTGATGTCACCACTGACCATTACTCCATCGCTTCAGAGGAGAAACTGTTATCCAGCAGGAAGGGGCGGAAGCTTTGGGTAAAAGCTCAACCTCGTGCAATTAATAAGAATTTTGTAAAAGTTACACCTCCTACCCAAGGCCATCAGTGTTCTTCATTCCAGCGGCAATAAACGCTTAGAGAAATCCGAGAAACACAAGACACATACAGTACTCATCCTCCATGTGTGTGCTCCTTGCTTCTGACTTAAGAGCAGAAAAAAGCTACCCTGCAGTCTTACGTGGGTAACTCCATGGTTCTCATTTTCCTGTTTATGCTGATCTCTTCCTAACGTGCTCCCAGGGGGAGCTGGGTAAAACGAGCAAAACCGTGGAGGGGGCAGTCTCTTCACCCCTTGCTCCTGGAGTTGAAGCAGTATGGTATTTGAAGCCAAAGGCTTTGCAAGACCCCCAACAGCTCTTTTTTTAGCCTTCTGAGAATGTTTTAACCTTTGGCACAAGCTGGGGGCTCGTGTTCCAGCAATAACTGACAAGGAGCTGTGTCAGTACCAGCGCTGTGAGTCCGGTAAGTATCTGCGCACAGAAGCCAGGTTCAGCGCATTAATTGCCAGTCGTTGGGAGTTCATCTTCACCTACAAGTGCCATTAACACCTTGTAGTGGTTATGGCTTTGCAGGTAAGATATTTACTGCAGGGGGGAAAAAACCACTTTTGCTTGGTTTTTGCTTACGTGTGTTGAGCACCTGGAACTGCGTGTTCTGAGACTCAGATGCAAAACTCATGCGGAGTGGCTATGGTTATGGTTGCTGTGGGAACCACGGCATTGAATTTCAAGGCATGGAGGTGTTGCAGTTCTCATCCCATTAATACCCTTATGTTATCGTTTAATAATATCCTTATGAAATTCAGGGCATGGAATATTCGTACAATTCATGTTTCGCTGTAGCTGCTGGTCACACTGAATGTATTAGGTGAATAAAATCAGATAATGAAATATCTCACCATGAAAATAATTCTGTTAAAACATATGGGGATAAAAATTCAAGGAGTAAAAGGGCAGTGGTGTTACAAGCGCCCGGTTTTCAATCCTTTGCCCAGCTCGGGGTGAGGTCCTGTTTGCTTGGAGGTGTCTCTTGCCAAGGCTCAGCTCAGCGTGAGCGCGGTGACCCACTGCAAGCAGCACAGTCTGTCTGAGCACAGAATTATTCCCATTATTCCCCCTGCGTTACCCAGCCAAAAGGCATGAAGTTAAGTGATTCCACACGTTTCCCCGTAGATGGGAAAACCACGGGCCCGGTAAGAGCTTGGAGCCACCGGAGCGCGTGTGTTTTAATCGTCCTGTGCCTGCGGCGCCCGGAGGAGCCGGAGAGGGGCGGGGGGCGGCGGGAAAGGCAGAGGCTGCCCGGCAGGGTCGGGGGTGGACGGACGGACGGACGGACGGACGGACGGTCCCTTCTGCAAGGAAAGGCGAGCTGCAGAGGGCCGTGCAGTGCCTGCGGTGGCCACGGGGTGTCTCTCGAATGCAGAAACAGGG